CCACAGTGATAACCAGGGGTGAATGCCCTCAAAAGGATCTAGCTTTTGCTGGACATTTGTTAAAGAGAAAATGCTTTGTTCTGGCTTTTCCCCTACTCTGATTAATGAGGCAAAATTCAAGACAAAGAGAATTAAAAGGAGTTTATTAAAGTACATCAAATTGATGGGCTAATCATTGGAGATCAGCAAGGGATTCAAGATGGAGCCAGCTTTTGTAATGTGATAAAGAAAATTCTGGTTCTTTTTTTAAGTTTAATAGTATTTTATTTTTTCCCCCAGTTACATATCAAGAAAATTTTTAGCATTAATTTTTTAAAAATATAACATATAAGCTTTTTTTTTTTTGGTTAGGCAATGGGGATAAGTGACTTTCCCAGGGTCACATAGCTAGTGAATATTATGTGTCTGAGGTCAGTTTTGAACTCAGGTCCTCCTGACTTCAGGGCCAGTGGTCTATCCACTGCGCCACCTAGCTGCCCCCTTTAGCATTCATTTTTACAAGATTTTGAGTTCCAAATTTTTCTCCTTCCCTCCCCTCTTCTGAAATGGTAGGCAGTTTGATATAGTTTATACATATACTATCATGTAAAACTTATTTCCATATTAGTCACAGTTGTGAAAGAAGAAACATATCAAAGAAAAAAAAACACAAGAAAGAATAAAGTAAGTGAAAAAATACCATTTGTTCTGCATTCAGAGTCCATCAATGCTTTATCTGGATATGGCTAGCATTTTCCTTTGTGAGTCCTTTGTACTTGTCTTGGATCATTGTGTTGCTGAAGAGTTGTAATTTATAGTTGATCATCACACAATGTTGCAGATACTGTGTACAATGTTCTCCTGGTCCTGCTCACTTCACTCTGCATCAGTTCATACAAAGAATTTCCAATTCTTTGCCACCACAAAAAGTGCCCTTTTTGTGATGGCAAAATATGGTCTGATTGCCACCACAAAAATTATGGTCTTTGCCACCACAAAAAGATTTGTGATGGCAAAATATTGGAAATGAGGGGATGCCCATCAAATGGGGAGTGGCTGAACAAATGGTGGTGTATGAATGCAATGAAATACTATTATGCTCTAAGAAATGATGAGCAGGCAGACTTCAGAAAAACCTGGAAAGACTTGTATGGTCTGACGTTGAGTGAAGTGAGCAGAACCAAGAGAATGTTGTACAGTAACAGCCACGTTGTGCGATGACTACCTTTGATACACTTAGCCCTTCTCAGCAGTGCAATGATCTAAGACATCTCCAAAGTCTCATGATGGAAAATGCTATCCACATCCAAAGAAAGAACTATGGAGATCTGAATGCAGATCAAAGCATACTATTTGTTATTTTTTTTCTACTGTTTTGTTTTGTTTTCTCTTTCTTGTGGTTCCTCCTATTGACTCAAATTCTTCCTTACAACATGACTAATGTGAACATGTTTAATAGGAATATGTATATATATATATATAGCCTATATCAGATTGCACACTGTCTTTGGGAGGGAGGCAGGTTGGGAGGGGGAGAAAAATTTAAAATTCAAAAGC